AAAGGCTGTTAAATTAATTAGCTTTTTAGTACAAACTGAGATGGAGGACACCCAGGATAATCTAATGGCTGGAACGTGCTATTTTTTTTAAGCCACAGTATAAACGCAGGGGTCCCTACTAAGCCAAGTCAATAAATACAGAAGACTTTGCTTCTTAAACATTCACTCATTCAATCTCTTGGACAAGAACCAAACAGCAAGAAAGAACACACGCAGAAATAGCCACAGCCAGGTCAGAGTGAAAGAAATATCCAGCAAAAAGCAATTGTGGCTTGTTGTGAATTGTGACATAAGCAATTTTCTTTTAAAACATACAAACAGAGGAGAGTTAGAGAAGCAGAACAAAAGTGTGTCTGCCAGTCTTTTGTGAACAGTTGGGAGTCCAATCTTTATTAGGACCACTATGGGAAGAAAAAGACTTAATCCCTTTCTCCCCCCCCCCCCAGATTTTAACCATAATTCCATCTCTGCAAGCAACCTCGGAGCTTACAAAACAGTTTCCGGTGCCCCCAATGGATAATTTGTTTACTTAAGGTAAAGAGCAGCTCAAGGTATGGGCTTAATGGTAAAAGCACAGCTGAAGAGCAAAGAGGATCCTTTTTACCCTGCATGGAAAAAAAATTAAGAACTAAATCTTTAATGGAATATGTAATAGGACTCTCACTAAGCTAAATGGGCCCCTTAGGATGAATAAGGAAAAAGTGGACTCACCACAGGTAGCATTAACACCCCAGTGTTAAGAGGCACCCAGTGAGATTTGATATGCCTTGTGTGCGCCTGCTTAACACACAAAGAGACTGTCTTAGTTCAGGTTTGCATAGTGTCACACTCTATTATGTGCTGTTTTCACAACATAGGTTGAAGGTACAGGGGTGCGCTGTGAAAGGACACTTCCGCTTCTCCACCTTCTGAGATAACTTCTGGAGAGGTAAATTTAGGAATTAGTCCAAACAAAAACTCAACACTGCATATGCTGTGTGTACTCAAAACACCAATGCAGATTTTGCAGCAAACCAGTGTTCTGACTAATCTGCTACAGAGGTTGTCCTAAATTGTGGTTTCCTTTGCAAATTGGGGAGGGGCGGGGGCATCACATACCCAGAATCCATGCTGGCATCAACTGTCTATCTCCCAAAATTAGACCCCTTCTGCTCAAAGACAGCCAAGCATTTCTCATGAAGGTTTCAGGTCTTTCCAATTTGTGGAGAGATAAATCGCTTAAAGGAAGAGATGTGTTCTCAGTTCTGCTCCTCTTGATTAAAAACTGCATTCTTTTATCCTGCAAACAAAAATGGACTTCTCCTCCACAAAAGGTGGCCATCTTTGGCTGTTTGCATCCTACTCAATTCCTCAGTCAAAGCAAATGAAATGCCAACGGAATAAATCAAGTTAACTAGCAGCAAGAAGAATACAAGTTAAGCTGCCTTCTGCAGCCCTTTTCCTTGTCCCAACCTGGGCCCCCTTTTCCTCCATTAAAAGAGAAACTGGCAGGTGTTTTCTGATAAGAAGGAGATCTGCTAATAATAGGTGAGTGTCCACCAGGAATGGATATTTAATTCCAGAAGAGCAACCTGGAACATTGAAGATATTGCTGAATGTCAAATCCCAGCTCATCATTGCTTCCCAGGACCTAGAACTCCAAAAATGCTAGCAAAGCAGAGAGAACAAATCTTGGATGTCAGTAATGGAAAATTAAAGATTCAAAGTACTTCCTACATATTANTACATTGTGGCGGCCAAAACTGAATGCAGTATGGCCTTACCAAGGCATTGTAACAAACAAGGCAGTTTATTAAGAGAGTACTAAGAAAAATGGCACACACCCTTCAGTTAATTAGGAACTAATGTGCACAAAGCAGCTTATTTTTTATGAGACATAAATCTGTGGGGAAGCCCAGATTCTGTAAAGATTTGCAGAAGCTTTTTACACAGAGTTTAAGGCTTCTGGACCTGCATGTTCATCTTTTGCTGACCCCTCTGCCATATGAGAAGATACTGATGGGTACAATGGATCTTAAATAGATGATTATCCTTTCCTAACTAGAAATGGGTCTAAAACAAAACAAAATCCACAATGTGCACTTTTCTATTATTTTCAGACCTCAAGATTTCCCTACCACATATGACAAGCCACCTTCCCTTTAAAAAGACACAGTGCTCTAGATCAAATTGTAAGCTAAATTATCTGAATCTCATTTAAACCCAGTTCACACAACCCATTAAGCCATAATAGAGTTGGCCTGGTTTAAAATGAGCAGATTTGGTGAACCCAGTCACTGAGGACCGTAAACTCTCATTTAAAATCCAGCATTATGAGGGAATCCAGCCAACAGTCAATATTCTGAACAGGCTTTTATTTGTAGCCATAATTAAAAAGGACAGCATCACAAAACAATGACTAATTAAAATACAAAGAGCAAAAGAACACCAAAATATCTACTCCATCAACACAGATTTAAGGCTGCCAAGCTAGCCTTAAGATTTGGGTCAGTGCTTAGCATATCGAACTAAAATTTCTGGCATTTGAAAATAAAATTTCCTTTTGAGATTCATTCTTTCTCTCTCTTTCTTGCATGTGCACATATACACACACACACACACACACACCTACAGCAAGTTATTCTGGCAGTGGATGCTCCTGTTCCAGCCAGCCATAACCTCTTCAAGGACATTCCATTCCTGCCCACAACCTCCAGCCGGCATTGTGTTCTCATTGAGCCTTTGTAGTCTTCATACAGCTCATTTTTGGAAATGTGGAGGAATGATACTGTAAGCTCTTCAAGTCGGATGGGTATCAACTGCCTCCTTATGCTTGCTTGTGCTTCTCTGCTATGCGGTGACATATTGCCATGACCTTGGGGAATGAAGGGGGAAATGCTTGGGGAAACAAAAGTAACTGCTGAGCCTCCTTGAGACGCTGCCTCAAGGTCACACAGCTGGAAGGAGGAGGGAGCTGCATGCCAAACTGTAGTTAGGACTGACCGTTATGACTGACACCTGATTGGTTACCCTGGGGTAGGCAGTGAGAGAGCGTTTATGGGGGCAAAAGTAGAATTTATGGATTTTGGCTGGCGATTCCAAGTTCTGGCTATGAAATACTGCTGCAATACACTTGATCTCTGATATAAAATTATACCTTTCTCAACAAATGGAGCCAAGGATCATTTCTATTTAGAGGTTGAAGTTGTGGCAGATCCGACAATGGATTTCTTTCTTTTGTGCATGGATACATTAGTTTTGTCCTACCAGTGGACTGGAGCTCAAAAAACTAACCTTGTTTTTTAGAAAATTATCAGTGCCTGCTTTGAAAACGATTCAGACCTCATGCAAACATAGCATCTCTCTGGCAGTCTGTCCTATTTTTCAAATTTCTGCATTATGTCCTCAAAAAGAATGTCATTGCAGAAATGATGGCATCTTTTCTCAGGCAAACACAGAATACTGAGAAGCATTGGGCTACTTTAATGAATTGCAGAGATGCTATGTTGGCAGGAAATCCCAAACATTTCTTCCTAATAATTTTTGATGCATGCGCTGCCCAATAATTTGATGCATTCTCAAGTTGCCTGCTGTAAGCTTCCTCTCCTACTGGGTACCCATCAAACAGAGAGGAGGAGGCAATGAGTGACATTATCAGCCAAAGCCACCGGTGCCAGCAGGTGAATATATCATCAATCAGAGTATGTTCACTAGGTATTAATGGTTGGAGAAGATCCAAGTTGGCTTCTGTTAAGGAATAAACACAGAATGACTTAACCCTGTATGGGAACTTCTTTGAAATCCCTTTGTTTTCTTTTCATTTCAAGTAGTAACAGGTTTAAATTACGCAGACATGTAAACTTGCTGGAGAAAAAAAGATGGAATTCACACACCAAGGTTGTAAGCCATGGGTTGGATAGATCCCATTTAGTGAATAAATCATGCCAATGATTGTAAGCTATGGAGTGGACTCATATACCATGCTATATCATAAACAATGGTTTCTAAGACACAATTACCTGGCTTCATCCAAGATGCTAAATGAAAGTCTGAGAATGATATACAGGTAGTCCTCACCTTATGACAACAATTGAGCCCCCTGAGCAAGACAGACAGTTAAGTGAGTTTTGGGCCATATTACCACCTTTCGTGCCACTGTTTTTTAAGTGAATCACTGCAGTTGTTAAGTTAGTAACATGGTTGTTAAGTGAATCTGGCTTCCCCATTCACTTTGCTTATCACAAAAGGGGATCACATGACCCCGGGGCACTGCAACCGTCATAAACATGAGTCATTTGCCAAGCATCTGAATTTTGATCATGTAATGCCACAGGAGAAGCTGCAACGGTTGTAAGTGTGAGAAATGGCCATAAGTCACTTCTTTCAGTGCTGTTATAATTTCGAATTAAAGAATCAACATGGAATTTCTTAACTCTGTATAGAATAGAATAGAATTCTTTATTGGCCGTGTGACTGGACACGCAAGGAATTTGTCTTTGGTTCGTATGCTCTCAGTGTACATAAAAAGACAAGATACATTGGTCAAGGGACTTTTTTGAAATCCCTGGTTTTTTATTTCAAGTAGTACACAAACTGTTGTAAGTCAAGGATGTTAGAATATTCATGACTGGGAGAGACATGATAACAAAGTCAGCCAATGAATAGGCACAGCAATTATGTCAGCCAACGGGAGTGTAAACAGATCTGAGTCTGTGCTGAGAATTGAGACTGAAACTCTCTGTCTGCTCTGAACTCTGAAATGAAACTAACTGTTCTCTCCTGTTTGTGTTCTGCTTGTAACTTCTACCACATTGAAAGAACCTACTATTGGTATTGTACATTTATTTATGTCATTATGTATATAAAGAAGTTAATGAATCCAGTTGAATCAGTTGTGTGTGTGTGCTTTCTAGATTTGATTTTTCTGCAATCAACGCTGAAAAAGGACTACCTGTATTAATTTCCTTCCCCCACCCCCACACACACCCCTCCAATCCCTCGCACATGTATATATAACTTACTGTGTCTGCATGAAGCAGCATGCAGGATTCAGCAAATTCTGCCAGATCCCAAGAATGGGGCACCAAGAGTCACGGCAACTCAAGGATGAGTTCTGTGGGAAGAATAAAAGAAAGGAAGAGAAAACTTTTTTAACAATATGTAAGGAAAATGCATTCAGGGAAGTAGATTCGATCATTCTGAAGCAGTGAAAAAACTCTCGACTGGGCTGCACCAATTCAGAGCATAGCTAAGATTCCACACAAAGAGGTATGTGCCTTCTTAACAGGCTAATTATTTGCATGAATGGGATGTTTTTAGGAGGGATATATTCTTTGGGACCTCCCATGCTGGGGAGAGAATGTTAGAATCCAGACATCAGTTTAAGCCGGGGGGGGGGGGGTGTCTCCAATCTTGACAGCTTTATGCCTGTCGGACTTCAACTCCCAGAATGCTGGCTGGGGAATTCTGGGAGTTGAAGTCCGCCAGATTTAAAATTGCCATGGTTGGATAGCCCTGGCTTAAGCAGTATAGGGCAGGAGTCCCTAACCCCCAGTCTATGGATTGGAACCTGTCCACGCCATGCCAAAAACCAGGCCATGCAAACAAGGAAAGCCCCATCTGCGAGATTCAGGCAGCATACGAAGCAGTGGTGGTTTCCAGATTCCATTACGGCCACAACATCACCGTGGCGTCAAATGACACTTCCGTAAGCCTCCACGACGCTCCAGCGTCGCACAGGCAATGTATGCGCCATGTGCCATGCACATGCACGGAAGCGCCGACAGCTTTAAAACACGGTAAGGAGCGTGGGCAGGCCCTCCGGAGCACCAGAACGGAACAGTACCCGGTGCTCTGGGCAGGCTCCGGTACGCCTGTACCAGAGCGTACAGCCTGCAACCCACCATTACAAAACCACACCCCCTCTGGTCCGCGGAAAAACCTCTCTCCACAGAATGGGCCCCTGGTGCCCAAAAGTATGGGGGCCATTGGTATAGGGGAGAAAAACTAAATTGCCATTGAGGACAAAAGATTAACCGATTTGGCATCAGTGACAGTTTCATTAACAGAAGAAAAAGACTAGAATTGGTCTGGTTTACATCCCGACCTTCCTTCCCTCCAGATGCACAGGCTACCCTACAGAGATAAAATCCTACTTTATTGATGCAACAGAAGTAGGTTTGGTCAAAGAGTGGCAGGAAACAAAACTGTGAGCCTCACATCTGATGAGAAAGCTCTTCCAACAATCATCATCATCATCTTCTTCTTTTAACGACCCCTTGTGGGGTGGAGTCTGGGCAACTGAATGGAGCTGAGTGTTTACTGGCCAGATGCCCTTCCTGTCTCCAATGCGGAGTTATATTCAACAGATATATTCCCAAAGTGCCCAGAGAGAGAAATATCTGCCTCTGCCTAGGATCGAACTCACAGCCTTTCCCGATTGTGAGGCAAGAGCTCCACCTTTAGGCCACCACACCACTCACCCAGTCTCCCAACCATCCCCAGTCCAAATTCATCACTTTCCACAAGTTGATGCCATGGTAACAATTTGGATCTACTTTTAAACAAGGATTTGTGTGTCATGCACTGAGTCTTAGAACACAATTTGGATAGAGAATTCTTCATTTAATAGCAACTAAGGTTTACTTATTCTGAAAGCCATAATATCTAAACATTGAGCGGAAAACACCTGGATTAGGAAAATTTGAGAAGCCAGGCATGGATTTAAGCAATGGTTAACTAAAGCTTTTGTTAACTAGTATGGTTAGCTAAGTTTCAGTTAACTAAAATAAAAAGATTTACTTGAGAAGAACAAGGTATAACATACTTGATAAGACGACTTCGATTTTGCAGTCCACTCCCTAATTTATGCCTTTACATTAGAACTACGCCAACTCTAAGTACTTCACCTCCATTAAGTTATTTGTGTAAGATGCAGACAAAATCCAGGACATTAGCACTAGCAATCTCTAACAAACATACATGCCCCAAGGGGGATTTATTAGGGAAAGCTTATAAGCTATTAGCAATTTGGCAGAGATGGAAGCAGCAGTTATTATTCCCATATCTCTCGCCAAGAAAGCAAATTCAGGTGGCAAGCAGTATGTGTCTCCATGCGGTGCTTGAATTTATCACAACGTCCACGCAACTGAAATTCTGCTCCCAGAGAACCGGAATTTTGTGTCCTGTTCTAAATTACGTAAATCTGTCGTGCCAAATTAGTGTGGATTTATTTATTTTGGCTTTAACAGTCCTGGCTGGAGTGGGTTGAGGACAAAGAGCAACTATGTGTGGAACTGAAGCCTAGGAAATATTAGTCAATATTTATTATAGTTATTTTGCATTCAACAACCTTTGCCTGTTATTAGCAATTATTAATTAGTAAGATGTACTTTAGTTTGATATGCACTTATATCTAAGAACAGGCCAGAGAAAGCAACAGCTTTACAATATACCCAACATCAACAATAAACAATATAGAGCCAAAATGGCACTACAAGAGCCGAAATGGCACAGTGATCAGTACTCAGCTGACTTCTAGCTGCAGTTTACTTACATTGGTATAACATTTTCTGAAGCTTTTCTGGTCTAATTTTTATTGCACTTGGCTGGGCGACTAACTGATTAAAGCTGTTATGTGCATTCAAGTTATCATCATATGAGCCAAGGTAGCGCAGTGGTTAGAGTGCAGTACTGCAGGCTACTTCTGCTGACTACTGGCTGCCTGCAATTTGGCAGTTCAAATCTCCCTCCTCCCTCCTTTCCTCCTTCTGAGATGTTGACCTGAGACCAAAGGAAGACATTTAAACCATTACAAAGCTACCAGATTTTTTTTTCTTAACTAATGTAGGGCTAGTATTAGATTAACCAACCTACAGACTTTAAGATATTATTTACGGAGAAGTCTTCTGGATCTGCTGCAGTTGTATTGTGTTTTACATTGGTATTACATTTTCTGAAGCTTTTCTGGTCTAATTTTTATTGCACTTGGCTGGGCGACTAACTGATCAAAGCTGTTATGTGCATTCAAGTTATCATCAAATGAGCCACGGTGACACAGTGGTTAGAGTGTAGTACTGCAGGCTACATCTGCTGACTGCTGACTGCCTGCAATTTGGCAGTTCAA